CATAAACACATTGTAAAAATAGTGTTTATTGTTTTTGTAATGTCACTGTCATTGAAAAGTCATATTATTATTGTTTATTGATGTTTACTCTATAGTAGAGATGGTTTTAAGTTCTAAAGTATCAGTTATTGCTGCTGTAATTGATCATAATAGAGATCAACTTTTGGTCTTAAAACGATATCTGCTAGAGTAACTTCCCTAAAGACAATATAGAAATATGATTTTCAAAGACATTACATAAATCATAAACACTATTTTATAGGTCTGTTGACTAGGACCAAAAGCAAAGGCGTGCTTTTAATGTAAAAAATACGAAAAAATTTTAGTATCTTCTTCAAAAGCGAATATCTGCGACTATCGAGAAAAGATATGCCTAGATGTGTTTCAAACTTTCACCAAAATATCAACATTTTGTTTTCCCTCGTATAATTGACAGATGGCAACATTCGTTTTTAATTTAGAAGAAAGGATCATCAAAATTAGTTCACCAGAGCACAATATAAAATAAAATAAAATGCATGAAAATTTTAAAGTGTTGTGTGAGTGTAGAATGGTCATTAACGGAAACAGTACTATAAGTATTGTAAACTCAGGGATACCCCTGAAAAAAAAATTCCACTCCTTCAACTCCCAGTAGACATACCAACAACTTTGAGAAAAACCTCACTGTAGTATTGAGCATTAAAAAGGATTGGAAGAGAGAAATGTTTACTTAACCAGGTAAAAGACCATACCATAACGTGGTATACTGACGCTTCCAAAACAAAAGGAGGAACAGGAATAGGAGTATTTGGGCCGAAAAATAAACAAATCCGAACCAATAGGCACCTACATCAGCGTCAAATATTACTTAGATAGGAACTATCGAAATCAAGAAATATCCATCTTATCCTCTAATCAAGCAGCATTAAAAGTGATCAAACCAGTAACCATCAATTTGAAGTTGCTTAAAGAATGCCTGAGAAATATTCTAGAAGATAATGAAAAAACAAACGATCTAGCTAGAAAAAGAGCGGAGACTCCACTAACTGGACCAGAACCGTTCTGCTTCCCAAGTGGAAACCAACTTAAAGCAGAACTCAAGAGCCTGGAAGAGTCCGTTCGTAATCTGGAATGAATTCTCCAACTGTCTCCTCAATGAATACCTCAGTATATTGCGACATTGACACCATACCATACCATACCGCCATTACTCGCTGACGAGTATTTGACACGCATCAGAAGATGGTCACACAAGGCGTTTTCTTTCATGAACTATTCTGTGACTGAAAAAGCCCGGATACGTGATGTTATCTGTCTACCGCACTCCAGACATTCAAAATCTCATTGCTTTGTTGCCTCTTTACTTTTAGTTGTCGCTCTTAACTGACTTGGCAATTCTTCTCCATTTCTGTTCTATTGTGAGCTGCCTCTACCCACAAATTCTGCTTGTTAATTCCCCTTAAGTTATCGTGGAAAATATCCTTGAACCTTTTTGAGTTGTCCACCCGGCCTCTTACCGTCTACTAGCTCACCGTAAAGCAGAGATTTTGGTATGCGGTTTTTCTTGCATTCTGCATACGTGACCAGCCCATCTTAAGCGGGACTTTGTAATCATAACTTCAATACTCTCGCAGTTAGCTTTTTTCAAGGACCGATACGTTTGAGACATGATGGAACCATTTTATTCTTAAGAGTTGTCTAAGATGTCTCTCTGTTGCAACTTGTTTAATGCGTTCATGTGTCGGCAGTACGGCACCCAGGTTTCGCTTCCATATAACATGGTGGGAATTATATTGCTCGGTGCACCGCAAGTTTTGTTTTTGTGCTCAAGTCATGATTGTAGAAAACCCTGTCTTTAAATTCCAGAATGCGATGCTAATCCTGTGCTGAATTTCAGCAGAGTCGATATTGGCCTTTTCCAAAATCAAACTGCCGAGGTAATTGAATTCCGCTACATATTCCAACAGCTCATCTCCGATTTTTATAGCATTGTTGTGATCTTCCGGGGGAGTGCACATGATTTTAGTTTTATCGATGTTCAGCTTAAGACCCAAGACCTCGTATGCCCATGTATATGTGTTCAACATTTCTTGCAATTGCTGTAACGTATTTGCAACTAGCGAGCACAGTCATCAGCGTATTGAAGAGATAAAAAGACTCAGAGCAAAAACACGTACAAAATTCATCACATAACTTCAATACGGTCTTGACACACGAGCTAGCGAGAAATAAAAGAGGTAAGTCAATGAGGAAGTTGAGATGAGTCCCAAAGACTAAAACTCGGAATGTAGATGTAACTAAAACTAGGAATAAAACTCGGAATGGATGGATTAATGTTTTTCATGATATTGTAACGACGTTTCGTGAACTCGTAAACTAGGACGTCAAGAAAGGGAGATATATTAAATCTATAAGGTCACGGTGATTAACTCCCCCCCTCCTATATCACCTACAATCTACAACGCGTGTTCTAATTAAAAAAATTGCATCGTATTATTATTTGAAGTCATCCACAAGCGCACGAGAATATTCTCACCCTTCAAACACATCAAAAATAACCGAGTAACCACTCGACACATTTTCCTTACAACACCTTCAACACCACCTTCTAGCAAAAAAAACGACCCTCTCCCCTGATTACTACATCCCCAAGGTCGCCTCGACAAATAGGTCGCAGCCTCGTTCCGCGAAAGCAGCCCTTGCGGCGGCCCTTCTCGTAAGGATCATTAAATGCGGGGTGCACCGGCCGCAACACATGTTTTCGGCGTTCGCCCCCGAGACGGCTGCACGCCTCCTTGGGACAGGGCATGGTTGTTCGGCAAGAAGGAGGTGAGAGAGGAGGGAAGAGGGCCGCACGTGGATAACTATTAATAAAAGCGGACTAGGTGAATGGAAATTGAAAAAAAGGTTAAGGGAGTGCGAAAAGAACTTAATAGAGTCGGAGCTGCAAGCTTACAGAAGTATTTTCTTGATTTAAATAATTTTAATGACTTAAGTCATTTGATTTTAAGTCAGTTTTCGAAAGATGGCTTAAAAATGATTTGTGGATAACTATTGCAAGATAGATTGTGGATAACTTGTTGCAAGACAAGTATTGGATGGGCTGCAGCAGTTGTTTGTGAATGTCACGCAACTGGTCCGATTACCATTGTCACGATGACAGCTGATTAATTTGCTCTCTTCCAATTATTATCAGGGTAATTTTGAAGCACGAGTGTAATTCGGTAGAATATTTCACGAATAAAAAACATGATTATTATTTAAAACAACCTTTATTATTTAAAGTAGTTGAAGTTGTTGGCATTTTGAAAAAACAATCAAAAGATAAAAAACGCTGCTAAGACTATCAAAATGTTGATCTAATAACAATTTGACGTTTATAC